ATATAACAATGAAACTAAAAACATGACCAACACAATGTAAACAACAATGAAATATAACTGAAAACATGACCAACACAATGTAAACAACAATGAAATATAACTGAAAACATGACCAACACAATGTGAACAACAATGAAACAAAACTAAAAACATGATCAACACAATGTGAACAACAATGAAATATAACTGAAAACATGACCAACACAATGTGAACAACAATGAAACAAAACTAAAAACATGACCAACACAATGTGAACAACAACAACAATGAAACAAAACTAAAAACATGACCAACACAATGTGAACAACAATGCAAAGTAATGTCATAACATCTATAGTTACATTTATCAAGGTGATTTGTGTACATTGATGTATTGTTGTTATGAACTCCTGTTAAAAGAAGGCTATTTACATAGGTCAGAATCCAGATAACCTCTAGAAATATTTATCTAAATACAGAAATCAGTCTCTAAAGAATGTGAAATTACTACATTCAACACAGATATCAAAGTTTTTGTGTGGCTTCTCAAAGGTAGGGTTGATGAGTAACATATACTAGAGAGTTTTGAATGAAAATATATTGTCTTTGACAAACCTTCAAAGTTTGATTTGGATCTAAATAAGGAACTTTTTACCATGGAGTGTACTGTTAACTCAAGAATAAGCTTGTTTAAAGAAGCTGTGTTGTAAATAGATAGTTGTATATAGTACTACATCATCTTTAGTGTGTTTATCAGAGGAAAGGAACTTTTTACCATGGAGTGTACTGTTAACTCAAGAATAAGCTTGTTTAAAGAATCTGTGTTGTAAATAGATAGTTGTATATAGTACTACATCATCCTTAGTGTGTTTATCAGAGGAAAGGAACCTTTCACCATGGAGTGTACTGTTAACTCAAGAATAAGCTTGTTTATAGAATCCGTGTTGTAAATAGATAGTTGTATATAGTACTACATCATCTTTAGTGTGTTTATCAGAGGAAAGGAACCTTTCACCATGGAGTGTACTGTTAACTCAAGAATAAGCTTGTTTAAAGAAGTGAGATTAAGAAGATCATATGTTATGAATGCCACTAATCCAGTCGCTAAAGACAGAACAAAGAAGTCTATGTTCACATATAAAGCTGAATATTTTTAGAATCTAAAATGATTTTGTTTTGTTTTTTCTGTAGCTGGCCCTATTAGTCTCAAAGTGCGTGAGGCTGAAGTTCCTATTGTTGATGATCAGGAGTGTACCGGCAAGATAAATGCAGTGAGTGAAAAGGTGTTTATTCTACCGGCCAGCAGCTTCTGTGCTGGTGGGGAAGAAGAAAATGATGCTTGTAGGGTACGTTCATTTGTATTTCACTTTATCCTTATCTGTAGATGCTTGTAGGGTACGTTCATTTGTATTTCACTTTATCCTTATCTGTAGATGCTTGTAGGGTACGTTCATTTGTATTTCACTTTATCCTTATCTGTAGATGCTTGTAGGGTACGTTCATTTGTATTTCACTTTATCCTTATCTGTAGATGCTTGTAGGGTACGTTCATTTGTATTTCACTTTATCCTTATCTGTACTGGTTAATGTACCTTGATTGAGTTTTTGCTTTATTCCTGTCTATGCGTGATTTGTTTACACTAAACTTGACAAGTGTAACTACAGATGTTACTACATTACTTTATTGTAAACGAATCATCTTGACAAGTGTAACTACAGATGTTACTACATTACTTTAATATAAACAAATCACCTTGACAAATGTAACTACAGATGTTACTACATTACTTTAGTGTAAACAAATCACCCTGACAAGTGTAACTACAAATGTTATTACATTACTTTAGTGTAAACAAATCACCTTGACAAGTGTAACTACAAATGTTACTACATTACTTTAGTGTAAACAAATCACCCTGACAAGTGTAACTACAGATGTTATTACATTACTTTAGTGTAAACAAATCACCTTGACAAGTGTAACTACAAATGTTACTACATTACTTTAGTGTAAACA